AATGGGAATTGTTCTTGGCTGCATCCCTCATGACAGTTTAAGCTGCACACTTGTCATATTAAACCCCGGGTCTTCTGGACCATGTTCTACTCATTTGAACCGCTTTTTTCCTGTCAGGAGCCTGGCCTTTTTCTTCATCTGACCCTGTGGTGTTTTTCCTGATATCCAACTCATCCTTCACAGAGTATCCAGCGAACATCTGGAAACAAATTTGACTGCACAGTTCTTCCTCCTTCCCCTATTCTTGAGCCTCTTCTTGCCTGGAGGACAAAACCAAAATGCCCCTGGCTGGTATTTATGGGAGGCATTCATCAATCTCCCTAACTGTGGAGTGCTGTTATTCACCTCATTTGTTCTCTCAGCCTCTCCTTCTGCACCAGCTTCCTGGGCTCTGTTGCTGTGTAGATGGACTTTCTTTAATCAATCTCAGCTTGACAAAGTCTTGTTCGCCTTTTCTCATCATATGATATGTCCTTCTCATCAGTTCATCAACCATAAAGCCTCCTCACTTTGGTCTCCATGGTACTTCAGCTTTTGTCATTGCTCATTGATCCTCATCATTAATTCTCAGTACTACTTAGGGGTATTTCTTTAGCTCTCTTACTCATTATATCCTCACTTGTGTCTAATCTCCCTGAAGTTTACTGTTCATTGGAATTATATTTCATTTAATTCTTAATGCTAGCAACTTGGTCTGAAGGAAAGCCAACTAACTTACTGTGGTATAATTTTGAAACCAGAGGTGGCGATAATCGGCAGTGAAGTTCTCCAGAGTATCCTTCAATGGATGTGAGGGCCTAAATCAAACAGTCTATGAAGGTATATGATTATGCCATTGAGGGGGAGACTGGAACAAAGGAGTAAAGGCCAAACCTTGGGTATACAATGGATTATTAAACAACATTTGGGGTGTAGGCGTACTCACCACCCAGGTTTAGTAAGTCACTGAGACCCACTGCAGGGGAAGGCTAGCGGCCCGTTCTTGAACTGCCCTCCCCCTTGCATCTGCTTCTTCCAGTTTGCTTTCTTCTGTTACAGGGACACTTCTTACTATCAGTTAGCTTCTTGTTCCAAAGTAAGTTTTCAGGGTTTTTTGTTTTTGTTTGTTTTGTTTTGTTTGAGATAGGATTTCTTTGTGTAACAGCCCTAGCTATTCTGGAACTCATTTTGTAGACCAGACTGGTGTCCAACTTATAGAAATCCTCCCAAGTTCTGGAATTAAAAGCATGCATCACTGTGCTTAGCTCTTCCAAATTAAGTTTTGAAGATTTACCTTATTGATGTATGTGTGTGTGTGTATACCATGTATATTTAGGTGCCCACAGAGGCCAAAAGAAGGCATTAGCTCTCCTGGGGTTGGACTTACTGGTGACTGTAAGGAACTGGACTCGTTTCTCTGCAAAAGTAGCAAGTGTAAATCTTATTAAAATAATGGCCTCAATTGACTTTTAAGTTTGTCTGTTTGCTCAGTGTTATCAGACTTCCTGGTGTAAAACTAAAATAACCTCTTTCTAGCATGCCAGTGTAGGGTATGAAGTAGTACTCCCTTTTATTTCTGTTACTGGTAATTTTTTTTTCATTTTTTAAGGGGTAAGTGTGCAGGAATGTGTGTATGTATGTTCATATGTATGCAGCTACATTTGTGTGTGTGCAGGTGTGCATGGTCTGTATGCACTTGCATGTAGAGGTCAGAGGTCAACTTCATATGTCATTCTTATGAGCAGTCCATGTTGGTTTTTTGAGACAAAGTCTCTTTCCAAGAACTGTTGCTCACTATCAGTCTAGGCCGACTAGCTAGTAATCTCCAGGTGTCAGCCTGTGTCTGCCTCCTCAATGTGGGGATTACAAGTATGTGTCACCATAACCTGGCTCTTTGACATGAGTGGCTTTCTTTTTTTTTTTTTTAATTAGAAACAAGCTTGTTTCACATATCAATCCCAACTCTCTCTCCCTCCTGTCCTCCCTCGCCCCCTTTCAACCTCCAAACCCATGAGTGGCTTTCTAAGTAGACGCATGATAGTTTCTTTACTGCTGAGCTGTCTCCCAGCTCCGTCATCATTTCAGGATTGTCCTTGCCAGGAACTTTGCTTTCTCCCTTTCCGTCCCATTCCTTCCTTTTCCCACACCCCCTTCCTCCCCTTTCTTCCCTTCTCACCTTCTCTCCTGTCCCATAGCTTTTTTGCAGTACCAGGTATTCAACTGAGGACCTTACACATACTAGGCAAGTGTTCTGCCACTGAGCTACATCCCACATTTTTCTTTTTTTCAAAGAACCTACATAATTTGAAACCTATTTGGCCTTAATGACTTTCTTTAATATCTTAAGTAACTGAGTTTGTTCCTTCACTTTAATTTTCTATCTTATTAGCTGTAAGGAGTTTAAAACATTTAATTCCAAGCCTTTTTAAAGGTATATTTATTTATTTAATGTATATGAGTATTTTATCTGCATGTACACCTTTCTGCCTGAAGAGGGCATCAGATCCTACTAGAGATGGTTATGAGCCACCATGTGGTTGCTGGGTATTGAACTCAGGACCTGTGGAAGAGCAGCCAGTGCTCTTAACCACTGAGCCATCTCTCTAGCCCTCTCCACATGGGTTTAGATATGTTTCATTTTTGTTGTCAGCCTCTTTTTGTTTAAGAATTTCTTGTTGAGGGCTTGGGGGGCACTACTAAGAATCCTCCAAGTCCTCTTAAATGTTAATCACATGCTCTACCATTGAACTGTACTCTACCCTCTTTGAAGAATACTTTAAAGAATCTTTGGAGCTGGAGAGATAACTCTGAAGTTAAGGTCACTTGCTATTTCTACAGAGGATGCTGGTCTGGTTCCAGCACCCACATGGCAGCTCACAACCATCTGAAGCTCTAGTTCCAGGAGATCTGATGTCCTCTTCTGGCCTCCACAGGTACCTCCATACAAGTAGTGCACATACATGCATGCAGGCAAAACAGATAAAACAAAACACCTTTTATTTTCCTCCTTTTTTATTTAAGTTAGAAACAAGTTTGTTTCAAATGTCAATCCCAGCTCTCTCCCTCCCCTCCTCCCCATCCCTCCCCACTAGGCCCCCCAGTCACCCCACACAATCTCCACTCCAATCCCCAGGTATAGTGAGGCCCTCCATGGTGGATCTCCAGAGTCTGTCATGTCATCCAGGGTAGGGTCTAGGCCCTCCTTCAAGAGTCCAGGCTGAGATAGGCACTCAAAGTCTATTTGTACGCCAGGGATAATACTACCCAAGGCCCCATAGATTACCTAGGCCTCCTCACTGACACCCACATCAGGGGTTCTGGGTCAGTCCCATGCTTTCCACACAGCCATCAGTCTGGGGTCCAAGAGCTCCCCCTTGTTCAGGTCAACTGTTTTTGTGGGTTAAACCAGCCCAGCCTTAACTCCTTAAAACCCCCTTTTAGAACTCTTATTTCACATTTCTAGGATGGTTCTAATCTGTTAAGTTTATGTTTGTAGATATTAGGCATTAAGGACTTTGGAAAGGGACTTGAACTTCATTTTCTACCACTGTTTTCCTTTATGGTTTATCTTTCCCTGTCTGATTTTTTGTCTTCATGTTAGTGCCCTTTCTCGCAAATGTATATGATACATTCTTTGAGTCCTTTCATAACCAAATGTATGTTTTCTGGACTTAGTTAGGGATTAACATGATTCTGAGGTTGGGTTGTTTTACTCCTGTAAATACTTGCAATGATCTCAGGTTTCAGGATGGCATTTCAGAACTCACACTTATCCTTTATTCTGTGTAGGTGTTGCTACTGTCTTCTAAAACATGAAGGATTCTCACCACCAACCCCCATAGTCACTTAGAAACTGGAAACTCATATAGCATGTGCTTAGATATGTACAATGTCATCAGTCCAGCTTGGAACTTAGCGAACTGCTATAGTCCGAATTGTGGCTCAAAATCCAGTTAGGAATTTCTTTTGCTTGTTGAATTGTTGGGTCATCTCTTGTTGTTCATTTCTCTCCCCTTGAATTTCTGTGGGTTTGTGTTACACAGCCTTCTGGAACCATCTTCCCTGTTTCTAACTTCAGCTTTAGATTTCTGGACAGGTAGTGCTTTGAAGGACAGCTCACCTTTCACTTCAGTCTCTTTGGAAATTATATGTCCTGTCTCCTTAAAATCATGTTCTGTGATCTAACCCCTTCTAAAGGACTTCTTTGTGTTCTGTTCCTGCTCTTGTTCTCATCACCGCCTGGTGGGTTCCATTAGGTGCACTCCTTAGTTGCACATTCCACTTTCTTATCAGTTTGTTGAGGTTGAAATCTGGTGTTCAAGAAGCCTGTGGGCCCCTCGGGTAAATGGTGTGAAAGAAGATTGGTCATGCTCCACTGCAGAGTACCCTGGGCCAGCACACTTTTGCTGTCAGTGGCATCTTAGTCATTTGAGTGCTATTGAAACCAAGCCCACTCCTGTAAAGCTGATGCCTACCTGTTTGTTTTGCCTTTCCTGCCAGCAGGGGCTACAGTTGGCGTATGCTGAACTGTGCTTGCTAGATCTGGGCCTCTGTAATACTCAAACCAAGACTCTCTGGTAGCATCTTTGGTGTATTGTTTGAACCATGAGGGAGCAAAACCTGTACCTTGTGTCTCCATGGAGGAACTATAGGATAAATTCAGACTTCTCAGGCATAGGCACATCTCAGTCATGCAGACATGTGATTGGAGGAAACCAGGGTAGCCACAAGCAAGCTATTAGAACAGGATGCCTTCGAATGGCATCACTGATGTGGGACACTGCAGTGGGTGCCCTTTGTATTGTAGGCTACTGACTGGTATTTATACTGCTTTTTTGCTCTGCTTACAGAATGAAAGTTTAAAGTATTCTGAAACATAACCTATATTCCATAGATGGGAACTATTTCTTACTGTGTAAAATAGCCATGCTAATAGTTCTCCTTATTACTGTGGAAAAGTTCTTTTTAAAATAATCGGATATTTACTTGCATTATTTTACTTTCCTCCACTTGTGTTGTAGGTTAGCATGGCATCACTGAAAGAACTAGACCAACGACTCTTTGAAAGTTACATTGAACTAAAAGCAGACCCTATTGTTGGCTCCTTGGAACCTGGGATATATGCAGGCTATTTTGATTGGAAAGACTGCCTGCCTCCAGCAGGTAAGTCTAGAACATTCCCGGCTTCTCCAAATGCTATGTCTAGGGTAGTAGATGTAGACAGGCTTCTGTCAACCAAGACGTATTTAACTGTTTTTCTTTATATTCATTCTTTCTTGTTCTTGCCAAAGATAGGACGTTTGTTATTTTTACTTATTGGTTTAAAGCATGTTTGATAGTGAATTCAGTGTCCTTTCAGTTATGAATACTCAGTAACTTATTCTTTACCTCCCGAGAATCATTAATTATACCTTATGATCATGGGTGCTTAGAGATGCAGAACGTCTTCCTACAATTCTCCCTTTCCACACAGATATTAGAGTGACTGACAGTTTTATTCTGTGATCTTATGTTGGTAAAAAAAAAAAAGAATTAAAGAAATTTAGTTTTGTGCAATATCTAATTGTTGATGTTGAAAGTATAAAGGATAGAAGAAAATGTGCAGAAATAAGATAATTACAGTAATTCATGAAGAAAAAACTCAGTACATAGAATGGCTGGTGGTGGAGTACCAGTGTTAAGTTCGTGGGATAGCTGAAAGCAACTTCTGTCACTTTAGATCTTTTAAAAATAGCTATCGTCTTTTGAATCAAATAAATATTTTAAATCTCTCTCTGTCTCTCTCTCTCTCTCTCTCTCTCTCTGTGTGTGTGTGTGTGTGTGTGTGTGTGCATGCGTGTTGAGATCTGAATCTTCCATAAACTTGGTGATTGACATAATAGTTGTTTCTTTTTCTAAACTACTAACTCCTGTTCTGTGGGGGTGGTCATGCTGATATTGATATTAACCCCCAGTTCCTCCTGGGCACATATATGCATGTCTACAAGTGGTTGTTGACTAAGGAGTTTGTCCTGATCTTCATCCTCACTGTGACTGTCCGCTTTATTATACTTTGTTCTTGCTAGATGGCGATAAGCTTATTTACTGTTGAAACACCTCTCGTTTTTATTGTGCACTATTTACATGTAGTAATGCCCAAGCCAGAACCATTAAATACCTTTTTATATGGACATGATTATTTAATTTTTTAAATAGCAGTCACCTTCCCTTTTTTATTATATTGCAATCACTGTACAAAATACCAGGATTCTCTGAGGTGCTCTCATATATGTGTATTCTGGACGTGGTGTTTTCATACATGTGTATCCTGAACTTGTACCTACTCCTGCCCCCCAATTACTCTCTCATCTCATCCCTCTTGCTGATTCTGCTCCTCACTCCAAGTCACCCTGCCCTTCTGTTTTCACATCACTTGTGTTAATAAAATCTACACTGTACTTGTGAAAGAAAATGTGCATTGTCTGTCTTTCTTACAGTGGTTTGTTTTGTGATAACCCCAGTTCCATCTGTTTGTCTGCAGGTGACATAATTTCATTCTTCTTTATGAACAAGTAAAACTCTACTTTCTTTTCTTTTTTTAAATTGAAAATAGATTCTGCTGTCATACAATACATCCTGACCACAGTTTCCACTCCCTGCACTCCTCCCAGCTCCCGTCTCTCCTTGATCCAGTCCCTCTCTGTCTCCCTTGAGAAAAGAGCAGGCCACCAGTAGACAACAACCACATATGACAAAACAAAATACAGTAAGACAAGGCAAAAGTCATCAAGCTGAAGTTGGAAAAGGCAGCCCAACAAGAGGAAAAGAGTTGCAGAAGCAGGCAAAAGAGTCAAAGACACACCCACTTCCACCGTTAGGAGTTCCACCAAATCACAAGCTAACACCACAACATACACGAAGAGAAACTGGGACAGACTCATGGAGGCCCCATGCTTGTTGCTTCAGTCTCTGGGATCTCATGCTAGCAACTTAACAGCATACCTGAAAGCTCTAGAACAAAAAGAAGCAAACACACTCAAGAGGTATAGATGGCAATAGAAACAAACAGAACAATACAAAAGAGTCAGTAAAACAAAGAGTTGGTTTTTTGAGAAAAATCAAGATAGACAAAACCTTATCCAAGCTAACTAAAAGATGGAGAGAGAATATTCAGAGTAGTAAAATCAGAAATGAAAAGGGGGGAAAAGCAACAGGCACAGAGACTCATAAAGGCATAGTTTAAAAACCTGTACTCTACCAAATAGGAAAATCTAAAAGAAATGGATAATGTTCCTAATAGGTACTACTTACTAACCAAGGTTAAATAAAAATCAGATCAACAATTTAAATAGACCTATAACTCTCTAGGAAATAGAAGCAGTCTTTGAAAGTCTCCCAACCAAAATAAGCCCAGGGCCCATTGGTTTTAGCTCAGAATTCTGCCAGACTTTCACACTAGTAAAATTCCAATACTCCTCAAATTATTCCCCAAAATAAAAACAGAAGGAACATTGTCAAATTCATTTTATGAGGCCACAGTTACCCTGATATCCAAAATACATAAAGACTCAGCAAAAAAAGAGAATTACAGACCAATTTCCCTTATGAACTCAGATGTAAAAATATTCAGTAACATATTTGTAAGTTGAATCCAGGAACATCAAAAAGATCATCCACCATGATCAAGTAGACTTCATCCCAGAAATGCCAAAATGATTCAACATACGAAAATAAATAAATGTATTCCACCATAAACAAACTGAAAGGGAAAAAATCATTATCTCATTAGATATGAAAAAATCTTTAACAAAATCCGACACCCCTTCATGATAAAAGTCCTGGAGTGATTAGGGATGCAAGGGACAGATCTAAGTATAATAAAAGCAATCACCAGCAAACTTATAGCTGACATAAACTTAAATGGAGAGAAAGTCAAAGTAGTTCTTCTAAAATCATAGCCCACACTTTCCGTATCTTTCAATATAGTACTGAAGTCTTAGCTAGAGCAACAAGACAACTGAAGGAGATCAAAGGGATACAAATTGGAAAAGAAGAAGTTAAAGTATCATTGTGGATGATAAACATCTTTTAGTGAAGTAGCTGAATACAAGATTAATTTAAAAAAATCAATATCCCTTCTATATCCAAATGACAAATGGACTGAGAAAGGAACCAGGGAAACAATGCCTTTCACAGTGGCCTCAAATAATATAAATGTATGGGGTAACTGTAACCAAGCAAGTGAAAGACTTGTTGATAAAAACTTAAAGCATTTGAGGAAACAAATTGAAGAAAGTATCAGAAGACACTAAGATCCCCCTCAACCCCGCTCATGGATCTGTAGGATTAGCATAGTAAAAATAGCCATCTTACCAAAAACAACTTCCAGATTCAGTGTAATCTATATCAAAATTCCAATACAATTCTTTGCAGACCTTGAAAAGACAATTCAAATGGAAAAAAGAAACGAACAAAAAACAGGAGTGCTAAAACAATCCTGAACAATGAACGAACTGCTAGAGGCATCACTATCTCTGATTTCAAGCTCTACTAAGGAGCTGTAGTGATAAAAAGTGCGTGGTATGCCGTAAAAACAGATGCATTGATCAGTGGAATTGAATTGAATACCTAGACATAAATCCACACACCTATGAACACCTGATTTTTTTATTTAAAAAAAAACGCAGTTCAACAAAAACTTTCTTTATCTCTGTTTCAGTCACCCAAGCTGATCCTATAACTTGAGTTGTACAAATAGGGCCACAGTAAATGGCTATGCAGGTATGTGTGTAGAGCAGAGTTAGATCTTCAGTTGTATACCCAGGAGTAGAATAACTGAATCACCTAGCAATACTTTAGTGTTTCGGTACTCTCCATCTTTATTTGTTTCTTCCTGAGCTAATTTAACTCCCTTTCCAATCCTTTCTAATATCTGTTGACATCATTTTCTTGATAATCATTGTGGCTGAGGTGAAATGAAATCTTATTATAGTGTTTATTTGCATTTCCCTAATAGCATCTTGAATATATTTTCTTTCTTTCTTTCTTTCTTTCTTTCTTTCTTTCTTTCTTTCTTTCTTTCTTTCTTTCTTTCTTTCTTTCTTTCTTTCTTTCTTTCTTTCTTTTCTTTTAGACAGGAGTTCTCTGTGTAGTTTTGACTGTCCTGGAACTTACTTTGTAGACCAGGCTAGCCACGAACTCACAAAGATCCACAGATCCACCTGTCTCTACCTCCTGAGTGCTGGGATTAAAGGCATGCTACACCACCACCTGGTTTGAATATGTTTTCATATAGTTGCTGACTATTTGTGTTTCTTTTGAGAATTTTTATCCATTGCCTATTTGTTGATTGGATAATTGAGGGCTGTTTGGCGGGGGTGGGGGAGCATTCTTAATAGCCTGTATCATATGAAGAGCTGGGTCTCCCCATCCCTGCGTCCCCATTCTGTAGGCTGTCTCTGTGCTGTCCGGATTGTTTTCCTTTGCCCTCCAAAAATTGTCAGATCTGGTAGAGCCCCTGGTGGCAGTTCTTGCTCTTATTTCCTAAGCTTACAAGTTTCATGTGGAGGTTACTTTTTCTTTTGATCTATTGTGAATTGATTCCTGTACAGAATGAAAAATAAGAATCTAGTTTTATTCTTCTTAATGTATCCTCCAATTACATTTGGTGAAAAGTTTGCCTTTTTATCCAGTACATATTTTTTTTAGACCGGTGTCGATGGTCAGACTGTTTCAGTTTTGCAGATTTATATCTTGGCCTTCTGTTCTATCCTATTGCTATGGATCTACTTGTGTGCAGTCTTTTTGTTGTTGTGGCTCACGGTACAACTGCTTTAATAAGCCTCACCACATTAGAATTGGCAACCGAGTTTTAATCTCTGTTGTCAGGGGTTCGTGAGTGCCTTCCCAGAAAGCTGCATTGGCCCTGAGGAACAGTAGCATCTTGTACCGCATCAGAGGAGGGCTTCCTTTTCCTCAGCTCTCTGACTACTTAACTGTTACTTAGGGCACACAGCAAAGCTTTGTAATGGTGAATGCTGGCAGTGGCAGTGAGGCTTTCCTGTTGGGGGAAAACCAGGTTTTTGTATCACTTCCCTCTCTAAGGACATCTTTGGAACTGGCACAGACACCCTGGAAGTCCTACTCTCTCCAGAGAGCACTGTGAGGTCTCAGTACTTGAAGTG